CAAGATCGGGGGGGGGGGCATAACAGCAGCACAGAAGATACAGTAGTGGAGTCTCGAAGGGAAGTTGAAAAAAGCGTTCAAAATGGAGGGTGAGAGATAAGTGAAGAAGGATGACTGAATAGAAATAGACAAACTGTGCGAGCGGATGGCCAGCAAAATCATACGAAATGTCAGAGGTCTTGTCAGAAAAACAAAAAGCACAATACATGTCTATAAAAAATGGTAGACGTTCAGGCGACCTTACGACAGAAGAAAATTTGTTCAAACAGCATGTAAGGCAAACTAAAATATGACTTATAAAAAAGGGAGGCAAAGTCTATGGCTGCAATAATCATTATATGTCACAGTGGTGGCAGTGAAAGTAGAGGAAAGACATCTATCACATAGCGAAAGCCAGAGAAAGAAGAACAAGAGACGTCAGTAAAGTGAAGTACATAAAAGACGCAAGCGGAATGATGCAGACCAACGAGAAAACTATTCGCAACCGAGATGAAGGTATTTCCAAGTACTCTTAAATGAAGAACATCTAATAGGGGCCGCAGAAGAGATCCCAAGAAACCAGAGTCCATGCAGATAATTGGCAAACTGATCACATCGATGTTCTTTGTTTGAACATATTTTTGTTCCACCCACGTTCGAGACGCGGCCCTATGTCCTATGCACTGCAGTGGCTTAAATACGTGGAGCCGTGGCCTGATTAAATGGTCCCGTAGGCGACCAGATGCAGAGGGACGGTGCTTACGCCGCATCAATCCGGTATCGCAGAACTAAAATAGATCTTCCTCATTTCGTTGGAAAATGTCATCAACGAATCGAACATGGAACAGTGATCGGAATTTCGGCAAGCCTTCCTTAAGGGCTTTCACGTCCAGGTGGTCCTTATGAAGATCGGCTAAAACACCAGTCACTGGTGAGCTCATCAGAACGCCGTACGTCTGACGGCAGGTAGTGTTCGTGAATTCGAAACTGGTGCCATTCATTACAAGGCCGAAGACTGTCACTAAATCATCCATGCTGCAATTCCTTAACACACTGTCTCATGTTAATCTCTACTCGTATATCGTATTCTTCAAAATATGCGGTATAAATTTATACAGGGTGTTAGTATTCGCGTTATTGAAAAGAAAGTGAGTTTAAACCAGGTTCTAGTCGAAAAGATCTCATCAGATGAGATGGAACAAGCCTTGTGCCAAAGGAAAGATAAAAAGGCCTCTGGCCCGAACCGGTATCCATAGAAGTCTGGAAAGCATTGAGGCAAGAAGGCATTGTTTCGCTCTGCGTATTTATTCAATATAATCATGGAATATTCAAAAATTCCGGAATCGTGGCAACGGAGTATTTTGATGTTATTGTACAAAAGGAGATATGCTCGCCTGTAAAAACTACCAGGGAATTAAATGATTAACTAAATAAACTAACTAATTAAATTGATTTATTCCATGAGGCAATCAGAAACATCGCCGGGCACAAGACTGCTGAGAAATGATGACATCACCGAGAATCAATTTGATTTTATTCTAAACCGATCAATTTAGGACGGAATCTTTGCAGTCTGCCCCTAAAGCATACAGAGAAGGCGAACGGGATATTCCTAGATCTAGAGAAAACATTTTACCCAATCCCGAGGCAGACAATCTGGTGGAGCATGAGAAAGAAGCTGGTGCCAGAAAAATATGCCAGGCTCATTTAAGACAGGGACAACAGAGTGACCACGAACAATTCGAAATGCAAAGTTTGCAAAACAGAAGAGTTTTCTGTGAGGGTAGGAGTCGACCAAGAATCTGTTCTGAACCTATTTCTGTTCTCGAAGGCCACAGACGCGATAACTGAGGATCCGCAGGAAGCAACCCTATACAGCATGCTTTATGCAGATGACACTGTGCTATGCAGCGAAAGCGGAGAAGCTGTAGAATCAAAAACCGAGGCATGGAGAACAGTCCTTGCGAAAAACGGACCTCGACTTAGCAGGTCAAGTCAGAATACATGGCGGGCTATTTCAGTGAGGAGAACAGATTGAAAGTCGAGGGAACCATGCTGCTTATAAGCCAAGAATTTAACTACCTTGGTTCCCTTCTTCAAGGTGATGCAACTTCGGCAAAAAAAGCATGGATCGAATAAATAGAAAGAGCGGAGTACTGTGCTACAAAACGATGCCCATCAAACTGAGGAAGAAGGTCACAGAACGATAGAAAGAACGATGCTTCTGCGCGGTTACTCTAAAGAGGCACAAGCAGCAGCTGAATTCGGTAGAAATGCGAATGCTCAGATGAATGTATGGTGTCAACTGAAATGACCACGTCCGAAACAGCTCCAGAAGAGGCACTCTAGGGGTAGCATTAATTTCAGAAAAACGTATTGAACGCAGGTTTGATTAGTTCGGTCACGTGAAAAGTACCGCCGTTGAAAACATTGAAAATACAGCCCAGATGCTAATACGGCTAGGAAAATTAACGTGTGACGTCAAGAACCATAGGAGACTTAAACTAAACTATGAACGTCATGGTTATTGATAGTTACACTACGAATAATTTCTTCAATGGAATAATAAGATGGATTGAAAAATGAAGCAAGTTCGAATTTGAAAAGTTGCCCTGGGTGGGGATCGAACCCACGACCTTGAGATTATGAGACTCACGCGCTACCGACTGCGCTACCAAGGCGATGCTAAAGTTTCTTACAGAAGTTTTATGATCAAACCTTTTACATGGCAATATGTTTTGAAGAGTTCATTGTTTGTTCTGTTTACATCTGCCACCTTATCAAAGTTCACCCGAATGATCGTTTTCTTACCCTCGAGTACCACTGGGCAATGTGCGAGGTCCATCGGTTGTTATCAAGACTTCCGACGTGTCCTGCCCCACGGATCTTGCATCACCTTCATTTCCGTTGCGTTGATTTGAAGACCCACTTCATTACTTCGTTCGTTGAGCTTTAGCATCATCTCCTTCATTTCTCGAGCATCTTTTCCGATAAATACTGTGTCGTCTGCGAAGCGTAGATGATTCAACTGTTCGCCGCTGATGTTCTGACCGCCCTTCCAGTTCAGTTTGCGGAACTCCATCTCGAGACAAGTAAAGAGCGATAAAGGATTGCTCTGTCTCATGCCCTTCTCAATCGGTATGCTAATGGGTGTGAGAAAAGCGTTTTTTGATCGAGCATCCCGTATTTCCTTCTTTGAAGATTTCGACCTAGTTCTCATCGGTTCCATCTTCCACAACAGCGTTCAGGACAGCGTTGAGTTCCACGCTGTCGAATGCCTTCTAGTAATCGATGAAAAGGAGACCTAGGAGTAATTGTTACTCCCTAGCGCTCTCTAGCAGTTGGTTTAGAGCGAAGAGGTTGCCCGTATTTACTTAGAATTCCGCTTTGTTCTCTCACCTGTTGCTCATCAAGTGGCTCAATGAGGCAGATGATAATGATTCTTGTGAAGAGTTTGTATATATCGGAGAGCAAGCAGATCGAATGATGATCTTTCAGGCCATAAATTTCATTTATTTTCGCTCTTTTTATGGAGCATAACGGTCTTCGATTCCTTCCAGCTGCTAGACGTGGTTTACTCAGGCTTACGGCGACTGAATCCAGCAACGAGTGTGTTCCGGAGTACCCACCAGCTTTTATAAAAGCATTGCTATTGCCGTCGTTGCCAGGAGCCTGTCTTGTTTTCATCCTGAAGATTGCGTTTATCACCTCATTGATCAGCGCCTGGAGAATCTGTTTCTTGTGTTTATTTCGGGTGTTGGAACGTCGACACGTGACTCACGGAGTTTTGTATAGAATTTTCAATATCTCTTCGGTATGTGATTCAACAATGAACCTCATTTTTCAGCGCCGCTGCTGTTTGATGGTATAACAGCATTTCCCTTCTGCATTTCTTCAGGCTTTGTTTTCTTTGAACCGCCGTTATCCGCCTTCGACAACAGTATTCTTCGAGGTCTTCCTTCAGCTTCTTACGGATTAACCTGCTGAGAAGATTGTACTCTACATTACTGATTTTATCCCCCTTCATAGTTCTTTCCATCTCCAGCAGTTCTTTTGTCATCTCTGAGACTCTCGAAACCAGTCGTAAAGGGCTGAGCATGTTCGGCTCTTTTTGAGCACCGAAAGAGCTTCTCAGTGAAAATATGGAAACCGTGTTCAATGCTCGCCGTCACATTCCAGTCGATAGTTGTGACTTGCCGCTCCATCTCTGCTTCGCCGATCTCCGTGGGCCTTTTACGCTGACAGATACACGCAGTGCTCTTCTTTCGACAACCGAAATTACCTGTGTTCTTGCCCGCAGCATGCGATGATCGCTTCCTGCGTTGAACGAGGGTAATACGGAGATATCCTTCAAATCCCGCTGTGTATCGACAAAAATATAGTCGATTTCATTTTTCCAAACTGCGTTTGGTGTAATCCTTGTCCATCTCCGTTCTAATTTCTTCTGAAACCAGGTGTTTCCGACGAATGGTTTATAGGTCTCTGCCATCGCTACCATCTTATCACCCTGTTATTTCTCTCGCCTGTACAAAACCTGCCAATGTGCTTCTCTCCGGCTTTCCCCTCGACCAAGATATACGTTGAAGGTGTCCATCACTACCTTATAGGTAGACTTGAATAAGGAGTTTATTTGAGCTTCTCATAGAATTCTTCAACCTCATTGTTGCTGGCTGTATTGGGGATATAGACTTGAAAGATTTTGAAGGTCTTGTTGGAGTCCAGCCGTAGAAGAAGTGCAAGGACTCGCGATGAACTAAAGCGGCAGGAAAGGTTTCGTAGAGACCACTTCTTGTTCACGCTAAACCTGATTCCACATGTGTTCCTCTGTCCTTCTTCTTTGCTCGGAAGAACCCTGTTGTCATCCCTCCAGGTCGCTTTCTGTCTTTCTTTGTGTCAGCAGACGCTTAAGTCATCGCAAGACGTTCCATTAATCTCCTTGAGATAACAGTTGATGTGTTTATCCCTCGACAGCGACCTACAATTGTAGGTGCATATCGAGAGGTCAGGTCCATTTCCTTTACTTTCTGGCGGCCCGGGATTCTGTGCATCCTGGGATTCTTAGCAACTCAAAGTTTTTCGGTTGCCGACCCGCCGCTGGAGGCTGCTCCCAAGGACGCACAGAGTACTTGAGCCCACATCCCTTCCTTCTTCTGTTTATGATTGTTGGACTTGTTAATTTACCACTCGCTGATACAGACTGTCAGTGATACCGCCCACGCTTAGCCGGCCAAAGATACAGTGCTGCGTCATCTCGGCTTTACTGGGAGCTACCAAGGCACGTGTCCCGCCGTGCTTCGACGCTCTGGACGTTGCCACTTCCACATTACGATGCGGTGCCTGGGTCGGAATTTTGTGAGGGACGGTTTACTTAAATACAATACATTAGATACTGTGGCCAGTCCAATGATTGACGAATACCCACTTTTCTGTTCGTATTTTACGGGTTTTCTTCAAGGTAGGTTGTTGGTGAAGTTTCGCAGTTGTAATTTTGAAGCCAGAAAACCGTATGACAATGTGATGTAGATTGCACTGACAGAACAGAGCATCGACATCCCTTACATCAGCCTGCCAATGGAAGTGAACGGCGGCTGCTTCACAAATACCACGCTGTTCCGCACCCATTCGGATTCTCCTAGCGCATATCATGAAACAAAAGGACATCATCCCCTCCCCCTCTCGCTGCAAAATAGTGCTGGAGGATGAACTAGAATGGTTGGAATTACAAGAACGGGGGAACGGTTCAGCCACCTGAAGTTCGCTGATGGCACGATGATGTGTACAGGAAATGCCATTGAGCTACAAGATATGCTGCACAAAACTCGCGAAAATTGTGGGGCCACGAACTAACTGGTAAAAGAAAAATTACTACGATAGGACACTGCCGCAGGATCGGATAACATTAGTGGACGGAAAGATCGAATAATTGGCTAAATGCATTTGCCTTGGCCAAGAGCTTAAAATGCGGCATGATCAGGCTAGAAAAATTTAGCGGAGAAACGGCAAGTGTTCCACTCCATTCAGGACGTCCTGCTTGGCAACATCAGGAAAAAATCTCGCACCAATCCCTTCAATTATGCCATCCTGCTGGCAAACGATGCATGGCTCTGAGATATGGTCGCTTGCCACGGAGGTAAAACTACAGAAATTTGTCACTAAAAGAGTCATGGAAAGAAACATTTTGGAAATCTGACGTCGCAATCATTTTATACAAATGACACTGTTCTAGCGCGCTAACTCTTTCGTTTTCTGTATAGAGTTTCAATAATATTAGTATAGGCGTTTTATTGTTTTAATTGTACCTGCAAATGTTTATGTGTATTTTGTAGAGCAAAATTTTTCTGATCGGATTGCTATGCATATTGGTAGTATTGGATAAATTATCGGTTTTCTGATCTAAAAAGAAAATTTTTGTATTGATGTGATTGGCTTTATAAACTTGCTTAATGATACTCCTTACGTCTGAAATACGAAAACTGCGATTAAGTGGCTAACGAAGGCAAAGTTGATTCTTTTGATGCGTATTTAGTGAAAACCAAGAATTCTTCACAAAATTGTCCAGTATTTCTGGCAGAACTGGTCGGAATTACGTACTGCTACAGATTCAGAACGACAGCAAAATAGTTGATAGTACTGTTATGAAGGTCGAGGCCAAATTAGACAAATATAGCAGCAGATGAATTGATCTTCTCGATCGATTACTTTGCCAAGGTCTCTAGCCCTTTTTTTCTCATCCGGCCTCGGGACCGACAACGGCAGACTATCGTTTTAAATTTTTTCGTTTCTCAGAGTTGTTTTGTCTGCAATACTCTGTCCTGCCTTTGTAATACTAACATTTTGTTCATTATAGCTACGCTTCTATATTGGCTCCGTTTTTTGAAAAACATATGCGTAAAAGCGCCCTCCTGCGCCACGTGAAGTCGCATCGTGTGTTTTACTCTTTCTTCGGTGCATCCGTTGCAGTAGCGGTCTATTCTTTCGCCGGACTGACTGCCAGTTCTGAAATTCGTCGCGTTGCAGCGTTCCAGTTCCCGTGGCTGTTGGACTTCTACTACGTGTCTCGGGACATATTCCTTGGCGATCTGAACGGCAGCAAACTCCGTGCCAAGGATAGCGCGGTCTGGGGCCTGACAGAAACCGACTGAATCGCCTCACGAATGGTTAAGTACAACGATATAAAATTGTACGGAAGCTGCTTTGTCTGTGTCATCTTCGCCTTTTCTTACTCCATCATTGACCTCTACTATCAGCGCCGCCCTCTTCGACCTATCGCCCCTGAAAATCTCAGGAGATACTATCAGCTGCAAAACTTGGACGACGAATCCTTAAAGCCGCATTCACCGAGCACAGAAAAAGCGTAACAGTACGTAAAGTTGTTCTAGTTTGAACCTAGTGTTTTATATTTTTTGTGTACGTTATCTCCGCTCCATGCTCAGGTTATTTTTAGCTGAAGTTGTAATGCTGCTACAAGGCCTGAAACTTCGTGTACACTTTCTGACGTATCTAGCTCCGTGACCTGAAAGTATAAATGGTCATCGAAATTGACTGACTGATTAATAGCTATACATCCTGTCGTTCCGAATCAAAAACTATACTCTGGAATCAGTCATAGCCGAGCCATGCCATTCATAACTTTCAGCATGAGGTGTATGGTTTACTGCACTGCTACAACCGTTTTAAGTCATTTAAATCTGCATTTCAGACCGTCTCATAGGCTTTCATCAAGCCTAAATACAGTTGACTCCTGTTCTTACTGATCCAGCATAGTTTTTGATACCACTTACGGTGTGCATTTTACGAAATGGGGCTGTGCAAAAATAAGCAGTGAATGCTCGGTCGAAACAAATGTCAGCTGCATCAGATACATCATTCTCTTGCCTATGTAAACTTGCTAATGACAGCTTGTGCGTTGCACAAGTCTCAGATTCCGTTTCCTGGTCTGGCAACACATGACTCAAAATTAAAAGCGATAAACCAATCGTCTTCTTGTAGGAAATCTGCGTCTTGGAATTTCCTGAACAATCGATAAATCCTATGCGAAGTACGTGGAAAGTTAGAAGAACTTCTAGGTACGTAGGTTTCGTCCCTGACTGTTAAGTTCATTTCTCGAATGAATAAGATACTGCGGAATAAAGCAAGGGATGAGATAGTTCTTTGTAACGAACTACGCTATGTACCTTCTTTGCCATTCAGTATATTTTGGTAGCATGAACTGTCGCCACGATGGCTGAATGTCGCCACTAATGCGACCGCTAGAAAACCTGTTGATTTATTTTACAAATTATCGTAAAATGTGTTGTCAGCGAGTTCATAAAATAGTGCTATAAAGCTCATTGGCTTTAACTTCCTTGTTACAGTGGTATACAGCAGTCCATCAGAATTCTTGCAGAAGCTCCTAGTAATTTTATCGTCGTCGGGAGTATTAGTAAAGCTTTTCGATGGTCCGTAATTTATTTTGTCTTCTTTACAAAATCAGTTAGAATCGGTAATGTTGCCTCTTCAAAATGTGCTATTCCAGTGGTCGATAATAAAACCTTGAATACGAATCTGCTTCTGAAAGCGAAAGAACACAAACTCAGTTTTAGGTTTGTTTGTTTAGTTATACTGTTTTATAAAGTTTATTTTCTTCGAAAATTTCAGTTTAGAAGCGCAATGAAATACATTGTCGCCGAATCAGAATTTTGCTTTAGGACCGTCGCAACCATGTCCGTTTACAACACTTCTCAAAAAATGCTGCCTCGTGATCCGCCGCTGAAGGGCAGTTTCCCGCTTGACCGTGACGGGTACTGTAAGATTGCCATGCTGGACTACATGATCTGCTTGCACAAAAACGCGGCGACACAGGAGAAGTGTCGACAGGAGTCAAAAGAATACCTCGAATGTCGAATGAAGCATGGCTTGATGGACAAAGAAGACTGGGATAAACTTGGGTATGATCGTGAAAAAAAGTCGTTAGAAAACTAACTGATAGTTTAACATGTCAGTAATTGACTTAGTATAATAAATGCTTAAATAATTATTTTAGCCTGCCAAAAAAATCAAAAGCAAACGTTCAAGAAGATTGTCGCCCTTTTCAGCAAAACAGTGGCTTTAGGCGCGATAGTTTATCTTCTCTATCTTGAAGACAGCATATGGCAACCGGACAATACTGCCGAATAACGTAGAAATACGTATTAAGTTTCATAAGAAAAGGATGTCACAACTATTCATTCGGAAAATAAGGAAGCTTAGCATCTCAGCGGTTAAAAATTTCACTTTCCTATAGTGGACGTTTACCTTCTCTCATTACCCTTTATCGTTCACAAAACTGTTCGGTGAAGCCTTCGCTGGTTTCCGTGAGTGGAATGACTCAGTTTTGAACATCGTATCAGCGAGTATTTTAAGACACCATAAGCAGGAAGCTGACGCGACATTTTCACCTATGATTATGAAAATGATGTGGCCTGATAGCCGTCCTAATAGCCAGTCTATCATACTTCGTCCTAATATTACAGCCCTTGCTCAGCCGTTCACCCATGGGGTCTTATGCTGAGATGCGGTAATGTGCCAGCGTAAACATTTTTTTAGTTCATACGCCAACGATTAATTTACAGAAGTAGCTGTGATACACCATATTTTTAGTGCATCCCATGAGCCGACAAGTCTGTGACGACTGCTAGTACCAGTGATTAGGCAAACTGTGCACATCATTATTTAACCTTTTAGTCGATTAACTGTTGGTAAAGTAGTTAATAGTAAAGTGCTTGTTGAACAAGTTATGCTTGGAAAATAAACCTATCTCGCGCTGTTGACATTAGCAACGATCACACACGCTTAAAGGAAATAGTGTTTCAAGGGACAAGCACTCCTGCGTCTTCGAGTCAAAGAAGCTAACAGCTAGTCAATTAACCAGTGTAATATATTTGCCTTTAAAGTAAGTAATGACCACTGGAAACATCAACAGTGCAAAAATTCAGTTAATCAAAGCTTTCATCTTCCCACTCTTCGTCCGGTCTGTCAGGGTCATTCTCGTTAGGCACATTGTCCATATTATTCAGTTCATTACGACGCAGACCAATATACTCCCTTACTCTGTTCATCATGTGCAGAAAATCAGGCTGTGGCAATTCCATAGCGGCATCAAACTCTTCCTCTGTCGTTCCGATCTCAAAAAGGATTAGTAAAAATTTTAAAACCAAATTAAGGGAATACCGGAGTGTAGCCAGGAAACATCGACCGGAAAAATATCAAAGCCAACGGATGGTTACGGAAGGTAACCGGTTGTCGTTGAGGCCTCTTGTAACTACATCGAGAGTCGGCCGGTGGGAACGGGTCAAACTGAAAGATGGGTGTGTTCGAGAACTCTTCCGGAATGGTCAGTTGCACGTCGGCTGAATCAGAGAGAACGATGTGCCTCAGCAGGTTTATTGGCACGTTTGTAAATCGTTTCTTGCGTCTAAACAGAAACAACTAAAAACCACACAGCGTATCATATATAAACATGTATTCACAATTACTGAATATGACAAATCTGTCTAGACTGTAATGCCGAGAAATTTAGTCAGGAATTCACAGATAAGTTCATAATTCAGACAATATCAACAGTGCGACACGAATGAAACGTAAAATTCAATTTCTGGATAGAAATAGATTCATTTCACTCATTTATTTGTCATAATCAAAAAACCCCAAAACTCTAATCGGGTGGTGAGGGAGAGGGGAGCGTCATATTTTAGACTGTATATTACCATTGCATTACCTTACGGCTCTGCCACTTTTTCCAGGACGCTTGCATGTTAAATGAATCGCCTGGTGACTGAACAACTTTGATGTTAACGCTGCTAAAGTTTCACAAACTCTCGAAGCTATACCGACCGAATAAATTTTCAGTCAAAAACAGTAACTGTTGTGACTGCCGAACGAAATGTTTTATGGAGGAAGGAAGGAAAGCTTCTAACCGGTACATACAGTTTCATTATGGGGCAGCTTCTGGTACCCTTTTTACAT